CACACACACACACACACACACACATACACACGCATGCACACATTATTTTGTTTGTAGTTACTTGGGCTTCCTATCACCCCCAAAGCCTTGTCCCATACATATGTAATCATTCGCCGCTCACATTAGCTCTGCAAGGGTTAATTAATTCTAAGAGGGGAATGGCGACGAAACGTGATTCGAATACTTTCAGCTCACACATTTATCTCTTCTGGAATAAATTCTCTTAGCCGTCAAGAAGCAGGGTTGTAGATTGTTTTCTGTATCTCGTCCAGGGAACCGAATGGCTCGAATATCGTATGTAATTCGAGTTTTGTGAACATTCTGAGAGTTCAGCTCGACACCGAGTTTTGTGACCCAGCCTGTCCTTTCGTGTGGGGGAAAGGCTTTGTTCTTTGATTGGTGTACTACATTTCTTTCGTTTTTCTTTCTACATATCTATTTTTCTTTCTTTCTTTCTTACTATCTTTCTTTCTAAATCTGTCTCTCGCTCTCCCTGTCTCTTTTTATCTCTTGCTCTCCTTCTCTCTCTCTCTCTCTCTCTCTCTCTCTCTCTCTCTCTCTCTCTCTCTCTCTCTCTCTATCCTTTCTTCGTCTCTCACTCTTCTCTTCTCATCATCCTCATCATCATCATCATCATCATCACTATTACTATCATCATCATCATCATCATCATCATCATCATTATCATCATCATCATCTTCATCATTCTAGTTCCACCCGAAGCGAAACAACTGCGTGACATTCACTGTGAGGCAGCAAGAGACTACAGGTAATGAGCAGGGCTTGATCCGGGTCCACACCCGAGTCTACACAGAGGTGCCGAGGTCCGCTCACTCACAGCACGTCATCAGGTACACCTGTCTTGTCATACCACGTGTGCACCCGTATTGTCACGTCATCAGGTAGAGCTGTCTTGTCATGTCATCAGTTACACCTGATGTGTCATCTCATATGTACACCTGTCTAGTCATACAACGTGTGCAACTGTCTTGTCACGTCACGTCATGTGTACACCTGTATTGACATGTCATGTTATGTATATACCTGTCTTGTCGTACCACGTGTGCACCTGTCTTGTCACGTCATGTGTACAGCTGTCTTGTCATACCATGAGTGCACCTGTCTTGTCACGTCATGTATGTGAACAGCTGTCTTGTCATACCATGAGTGCACCTGTCGTGTCATGTCATGTATGTGTACACCTGTGCTGTCTAAACATGTCATGTGTACACCTGTCTTGTCATGTCATCAGGTACACCTGTCTTGTCTTGTCATGTCATGGGTACACCTGTCATGACATGTCATGTTATGTATACATATGTCTTGTCATGTTATGTGTACCCCTGTCTTGTGATGTCATCAGGTATATCAGGTATATGTGGCGTCGGTAGCCTAGTGGTTAGGCTCTCGGACTCGCAACCGTAAGGTCGTGGGTTCGAATCCCGTCAAGGGCCCGACGTTGTGTCCTTGGGAAAGGCACTTTACACGAATTTTTCTCACTTCACCCAGGTGGGAATGGGTACCCGGCTATAGACAGCGAAAGATCTTGTCAGTTTGTTAGTGTTTGAGCGCTTAATCGGCTGCTC